AATTCACAATAACTAAACTGTGGAACCAACCTAGATGCCCTTCAGTAGATGAATGGATTAAAAAATTGGCATATATACACAATGGAATATTGCTTAGCAATAAAAGAGAATAAAATCATAGCATTTGCAGGTAAATGGATGGCATTGGAGAAGATAATGCTAATTGAAGTTAGCTAATCTCCCCCCCCAAAAAAAATGCTGAATGTTTTCTCTGATATAAGGTGACTGACTCATAGTGGGGTAGGGAGAGGGAGCATTGAAGGAATAGATGAATTCTAGATAGGGCAGTGGGGGGAAGGGAAGGGGCAGGGGATTAGCAATGATGGAATGTGGAATGTGATGGACTTCATTATCCAAAGTACATGTAGGAAGACATGAGTTGGTGTGAACATACTTTATATACAAACACATATATGAAACATTGTGTTCTATATGTGTAAAAAGAATTGTGATGCATTCTGCTGTCATGTATTTAAAAAAATAAAAGCAATTAAAAATTTTAAAAACTCAAGAATCTATAAATCTATAGACTGAAATGATTGGCTACCAATGACTTACACATACCAGTCACTGTTCACAGTTGATGCTGTATTTATTTTCATCTTAGACCTAGCTATATGTTTTTTGGAAGTTCTGTGTTACATATGTATTTTAACAAAGAAAAATAATTAAATTATGCTTTAATTTGAATAATTTCTTAAAATGAACTGTTGTTTTGTCTCACTGAGAGTTTTCAATTGGAAATATTACACAAACTGCATATATTACATAAACTTGTGAATAATTAGGAAATAATCCATCTGTGCTATGACATTCTTAAATGTATAGGCAAATATTAAAATTCTTTTGATGCCTAACATTAAAAGGAGTAACAAGGGAAATAAAGAAACTGTGATATATATATACACACATACACACATACACAATGGAATATTACTCAGTCTTAAAGAAGAATGAAATTATGGCATTTGCAGGTAAATGGATTTAGCTGGAGAATATCATGCTAAGTGAAATAAGCCAATCCCCAAAAAACAAAGGCCAAATGTTTCCTCTGATATGAGGTTGTTGAAACATATTCGGGATGTGTGGCTAAGTAGGGAAGAATGGAGGAACTTGGAATTGAAGAGAGGGGAGTGAAGAGAGGAGAGGGGAGGGGGTATGAGGGTGGAAAGAATGGTGGAATGAGATGAAGATGATTACCCTGTGTACATGTACAAGTGCATGAATGGTGTATCTCTGCATCATGTACAGTCATAAATGAGAAGTTGTGCTCCATTTGTGTACAGTGAGTTGAAATGCTTTCTACTGTAATGTATAACTAATTAGAACAATAAAAAAATTAAAAAGAGCTCTATCATTAAGCTATACACCTATTTATAACATACTGTTCTTAAATTAGGGTATAAGATGATATACCAAGGCAAAGCCATATCTCCATAAAGCATCTAACCTAGTTTAAACTCACAAATTAAAGCCAAAAATCTGAACAGGACCCACAAGGCCTTTCATGATTTTTCCTCTACTTTCCTCACCAGACTCAACTCATTCTACAGCTCCCTTGTGTTAGTACAATTACAATGGCTTTCTCAAATTGAACTTGAATACTTTATTTTGTCATCAGCTCTTTCATACAGTGTTACCTCTGCTGGACCATGGATCCATTACCTCCCAGTTTCTATCTTTTGCTGAGCTAAGTCCCAGAATAAAGTTTAGACATCATGGATCTCTACCCCACTTCATTTGGTAATGTCACTGTAGACTCCCTCTTCTAGGAATGATTATTTTGTTATATTCCCTTATCAACACTGTGTATCTTTACCTGATGATGTATTATGTTAATTCATAAGTATTCCCAGACTTTTACCTCCATCTTTTTTTTAAACAAACCACAGCATTCACCTATTATTTCCCCAAAAGTCTTCATCCAAATTACATTTTTTGTTTTGTTTTTGTTTTTTGTTTTTTGGGGGAGAACAGTTTTATTTTTTTTAATTTTTATTGTTGGTTGTTCAAAACATTACATAGTTGTTGATATATCATATTTCACACTTTGATTCAAGTGGGTTATGAACTCCCATTTTTACCCCGTATACAGATTGCAGAATCACATCGGTTACACATCCACTGATTTACATATTGCCATACTAGTGTCTGTTGTATTCTGCTGCCTTTCCTATCCTCTACTGTCCCCCCTCCCCTCCCTCCTCTCCCCTCCCCTCTTCTCTCTCTACCCCATCTACTGTAATTCATTTCTCCCCCTTGTTTTTTTTCCCTTTCCCCTCACTTCCTCTTGTATGTAATTTTGTATAACCCTGAGGGTCTCCTTCCATTTCCATGCAATTTCCCTTCTCTCTCCCTTTCCCTCCCACCTCTCATCCCTGTTTAATGTTAATCTTCTTCTCATGCTCTTCCTCCCTACTCTGTTCTTAGTTACTCTCCTTATATCAAAGAAAACATTTGGCATTTGTTTTTTAGGGATTGGCTAGCTTCACTTAACATAATCTGCTCTAATGCCATCCATTTCCCTGCAAATTCTACGATTTTGTCATTTTTTAATGCAGAGTAATACTACATTGTGTATAAATGCCACATTTTTTTATCCATTCATCTATTGAAGGGCATCCAGGTTGGTTCCACAGTCTTGCTATTGTGAATTGTGCTGCTATGAACATCGATGTAGCAGTGTCCCTGTAGCATGCTCTTTTTAGGTCTTTAGGGAATAGACCGAGAAGGGGAATAGCTGGGTCAAATGGTGGTTCCATTTTCAGCTTTCCAAGAAATCTCCATACTGCTTTCCAAATTGGCCGCACCAATTTGCAGTCCCACCAACAATGTACAAGTGTACCCTTTTCCCCACATCCTCGCCAGCACTTGTTGTTGTTTGACTTCATAATGGCTGCCAATCTTTGTTTTTGTTTTGCAGTGCTAAGAATCAAACCCAGCTTTGTGCACACTAGACAAGTGCTCTATCCCTGACATATGCCCCCAGCTCCCAGAATTCTTTTAATTAACAAGCTTTTATCTAATAACATTTTGTTCTTTAAATTAGAGAAACTTCTTTATAAGGGACAGTAGTCATATAATTCACAATTACATAAACTCTGTATTCATAGCAACAGAATATATACTATAAAATCAATCCGTCAACCAGAATCTCTCTCTCTCCATCACTGCTGTTTTATATTATGTGTGTACATTCATGCTTTAATAGATAAGGGAAGGGGTATAGTAACAAAAGTCTCTAGAACAAAAATATGGTTGAAAAGTACTGAAATCATTATCAAGAATTTTCAGAAACATTTTAATTAAGGTTTGTGGAAATTATGACATTTTTAATAAGGGAAGCATAAAAAGTAAAAAGTATCAAATAGTAACTTGGACATTCTTCTTAAAAGAAATCATGCTTTACCATAAATTGTTCTCTATATAGCTACAGAGTGGATGTATAGATGTGAACAAAGAGAAATAAGGTGCATGGATTTAATTATAACTTGAAGGAGTGTCTAGGAAAGATAGAGACAGTTATGTGAGTCTGTGCTTAGGAAGAGGACCTGGCAAGTTATAAGGTCTAGGCAAAAGTGATTTTTCACCAGGAAATTTTTTTTAAAGTATAGAATCTTTAAACATTACAATATCTGGTCTATCTTAGGGCTCTTTTTCTGTTTCTCTTTTTAATATTTATTGGTTAGGGCAATCACTAACTGCTATAATTTACATGTCCCAGCTGTATAATGGCAGAGGTTTAACTGAAGATTAATTCTTGCACTTTTAACAGCCTGAAGTCAATGAGTGACTTTCTTTTCCTAGGCAACTCAAAGACCTAGGCTCCTTTCATTGTGTTATGCTTTATCAGTCCCTAGGATTCATTGTCATATCTATATTTTGCCAGCAGGACAGGCAAAGGTGTTTAAAGAGGGTATGTCTGCTTTCTAAAAAAGCATGACTTTGAAATGGTTCACATGATTTCCTTTCAAATCTCATGGTGGCTAGACTAACTGCAAAGGAACCTGAGAAATTCAGTCTAGGAAGATGGAGAAATGAATTTTTGGTAAATTGCTGGCATTCTGTGTCACATACACTGGTTTTTCTTTGTTTTGTTTTGGTTCCCTTTTTGCACTTAAGGGGCTGATTTTTATCTCTTTCTTTATATGGTTAACACCATGCTAAAATCCAAACTCCTTGGCAACATATCAGATCTGTAACAGGTTTCCCTCAATTTATTTCTTTAATCCCTTCATTTTCTACTTTGCCAGTTTATATTTATATCCACATTACGTTAACCCACTATTCTTCAAATGTGCTACACACTTGAATACTTCCAAACTTCAGCTCATGCTATATCTTCTTCCTAGAAAACTTCTCTCAGACTTTGCCAGTTCCTCAGGTTTTATGCTCATATTAGGTTTCACCCTTCCTTGGCTCCTTCCTGCCTTATTCTTTATTCTTTATAACCCTTTTATCAGTATCTTTACAAATTCCTTTTGAACAGTTATCACCTTTTATCATAATAACTTCATATCTATCTTTCATAGAAGCTAAGTTTGAATCCTTAATGCTGAAACAAAGTAAGTATTCAGCATTAGTAAAGAAATTTGAGTTTGATTGTTTTAAATTGTCCATTTAGAAACTTTAAAAACTGAGAAACAGTTCTATTTCTAAAATTGTCTAAATGGAGCATATCAGATATGTGATGCAAAATTTATAAGAAGAAAAGTTCCTGGAACCAATTAGAAGTATCATTTACCCTTTTTCTCTCTCTCTGCCTCTCATCCTCTTCACCAGTTCTAAAAACTTTGGAAATTTGTTTTTAAGGCTGTTACCAATACCTGGGTTATTTTGAAACTTATTTATAAGGCATCATTGAAGAAAATTTAAACTTCACTGGTTGATATGATCCCTAAGAGAGGAATTTGTTTTATTAAAAAAGTGAGATCTTGAAGTAAAAATAACTAATGATGGCTATATAAAGATATATATTCAAAAATATTGCTGAAGTAACATATTCTTTTCATATTTTTTATTTATTTCCTGAATGTAATTTTACATATTTGGCTCATTACAAAAATGTATTTGAAAATTATAGTGTTTATAGCTAAGTTTTTTTATGAACTCAGTATTTACAAAGAACTTTTATCATAAAAATGCTGTTTCCTTTATTGTATGGCTCCAGATTTAGTAGGAATCTCTAAACAATGTACAGATAATTTATGAACTGAAATTCAGTCCCTCTTCCTTTCTCTCTCTCTCTCTCTCTCTTTTCCTCTCTCCCTGTCTTCTTCTCCCTCCCTCTCCCTCTTCCTCACCCTCCCTTCTAAAGATTAAACCCAGGGCTTCATGCTTGCTATGCAAGTGCTCTATCACTGAACCACAACGCAGCCCCATTTTTCTCTACTTCTGACATACAGTTATTGTCCCCAAAATAATTATTCCTGAACTAATAGTATTTATTTACATTTATTTTATAGTTTATAAACATTTGGTACAGCCTTATGGTCATTTTTGAAAACAGAATTTTGCTGTGACATTGTTCACATGGTCTCATTTTTTTTCTTTTTAACAGAGATATGACGGAAGTTGTACATATTAAAGATAGGAAGGAAGCAATTCATGAGTTAAAATATTCACCAGATGGAACTTACCTTGCTGTTGGCTGCAATGACAGCTCAACTGATATTTATGGAGTTGCTCAGCGTTATAAAAAAGTTGGTGAATGTGTTGGATCACTTAGTTTCATCACTCATCTGGACTGGTCCTCAGATAGTAGATATTTACAGACAAATGATGGAAATGGGAAAAGACTTTTTTATAGGATGCCAGGTAAATTTTTCTAGTAAAACATATATAGTTTGTAGATTTTTAGTGTCTATAAAATATTTTAGGATTTCACAAGAAGCAGCAAGTAAGTTTCATTTGAGCATAGGAAATGAAAGGATGAACTGAGCTAACATTTCAAGCATTTCTTTTCTATAGGGCTACCACATTATGTTGAAATTCTCTAGGATTCCTCCCCTGAGGATTATTGAGATACAATTGACATATAAAAGTTGTATATATTTACAATGTACAGTATGATGTCCTTATGTACATATGCTGTACCTTGTGAAATGTTTTCCACAATCAAGCTAATTAATGTATTCATCACTTCACAGAGTTACCATTTTTTTGTTTGTGGTAAGAGCATTTAATATCATATCTGTTGGCAGATTTAAAGTATACTATGCAATAATATATTATTAACTGTAATCAACATGCTATACATTAAATCTGTAGAATTTATTCATCCTGTATAACTGAAACTTTGTACTCTTTGCCAAGATCTCCCCATCCCCACCACTTCTCCCAGTCCCTGGAAACCACCATTCTGTATTCTTTTGTTTCTTAATTAAACCTCCTTTACTTGAAGAATTGAAGACAGACTTATATTAAATTTCACACCATGGGACTAGTATATGGTAAAATTCCACTGTGTATTAAAGAGTCAAATGTCATCTTTTGGGTGAAACTAAGTAAATAGCTACAAATGTGTGACCATAAATTATTTATCTGTTTGTGGTTGCCTCAAATAAATTTTGCAAATAATAATAATCTAGCTAACAACTAAATCAAAGATTTAAAAATAGAAGAATAAAAACAATCATTAAAACATTAACCTTGTAGTATTTTAGTTAATATGATGTTTAATTAGTCCCTATCTTCTAAGAACTTATTAAATAAGATGAGCCACATAAATTACTGTTTTTCTGAAAAAGTTTTTCATTAGTGATCTATATGTAATGAAAATTTACTGAGTCCTAAAATTCTTTTACCAAATGTAAATGTATTACTCTCCACCAATCCTACCTTTTTTGGTATTTTTTAGTTCTCTCTGTCAGTTATGTGTCTTAGGTTTCTCATAGCCACTTTCTCATAGCTTTTATTTCTCTTATAACTCACCCTGTTGTGGTTAATCTGTGTCATTATTTTAATAGAATTCACACAGTGAACCTGCTAAGCTATAAATCATATTAAATCTATGTATGTCTCTGAATTGGTATAATTCCATTGGTGGCTTCTTTAAAAAGCTTCTTGCATTTTGTTTTCTCCTTAGCCACACTTATTTTTTCCTGTAGTCTCCTCTAATTGGGGTGGGAAATAATTAAAATTTGAGATCACAATGTTATCAGTAAAATTTAAGCTTGAGTAAAGAAATAAGTGAAATAACTTCTTAAATTCAGACTGATTTATTTTTAGGGGGAAAAGAAGTGACAAGTAAAGAAGAACTCAAAGGTGTTCATTGGGCTTCATGGACATGTGTTTCAGGCCTTGAAGTAAATGGAATTTGGCCCAAATATTCAGATACCAATGATATAAATTCAGTAGATGGAAATTATATTGGCCAAGTTTTAGTTACAGCTGATGACTATGGAATTATAAAATTATTCCGATATCCATGTTTAAGAAAAGGTATCTCGTCTTTTAAATATTTTAACTAAGCTCTTATAGAAGACTTATGTTCTTGCAGAAAATTAATCTTGAAATAGGTAACAGGATTTCATATTTTTAAAAATGTATACTTCTTGGTAAAGGCCTTTATTTTGCAAGTTCTGTATTATTGTCATATGTTACATTTATTTTTGGTCATGAAGTTTTTATTATGAAATTATTTTGAATTTATACATTATAACAAATGGACTAGACCTGTTTCTTCTTTTTTTTTAGTAACTTTATTTATTTATTTACTTTTTAATGTGGTGCTAAGGATCAAACCCAGTGCCTCACATATGCTAGGCAAGTACTCTATCACTGAGCCACAACCTCATCCCCAAGACCTGTTTTTATTTTTCTCCCACTTCCTGAATTGCTTCATGTAGTTAAATTGCAATGATGGTTATACTTTTCTTATAACTTATTATCTTTAATAATTTAACTTATTGTATACATATATTTTGGGAGAAATTTTATTTTATTTTCTCAAGAATCTAAGGAAGTAGTCAAGTGTATAAACTCAGAACTTACTAACTTGTTGGTTTTGATGAATGAGCATGTTTTGCTTAAGTCTTTAGCATTATTTGTTTTGACATTGATTTTCAATAGTAGATCTAAAAAATGATTTTTTATTTGTTGTTTCCTCTATACTTTATCCTTTTTTCTTGGATGTCTTCTAAAATGATGCTATCAATCATTCTATTCACAGATCTGGGGATCATAGAATGAAATGTTATATTAGTAATCTTTCATCTGTTCCATGCATTGTTTCATAAAGTTTTTAAATCAATTTATAATAAGTCCATAAATACTGAAATAATTAAAGAATCAGTACCAGAGGAAATATAAATAGAAGTACACATTAAAACAAGATAAAGAAAATGACAGTAGCCGAACATCGAATTTGATTCTGAGCTTCCTGTAAACAAAAGTAAAATGAATCAGGGCACAAATAATTTTCATTGTGGATTTTTAAAAAATTCATTCTTATTCCTTAGGGAAATCCAAGTTTCTTCTGAGCTTTAATTGTCAAAGAATTCTTTTCTATGCATGAATCTTTATATTAGGTGCAGTTAATGTTCTAGAACATCCATACTTATAGCAGGTGCTATAATGAGATTTACTTGGCTTGTTGATAAAAGCTATTGGACAAACATTAGAATGCAGATTATTGGAACAGCTAATATAGTTTGATCAGATATGTAGTCCACTGATATCAAACTTAAAGGCTCAAATTTCTCAGAAGCTGAGGCTGTTATTTCTACTGGGCCTCTGTAGTGAAGTAATGAGTTCAGGATCCTGTCTTCTTTGCCATGTTATTGATTCTGCCTGTGTGATGTCAGCTTCTCAGATGCATACAAATTCTTCCATATGTAACTCTAAGTATATTAATAAAGACTAGCTAAATATCTAGCAATTAAAGTACCCTGTTTCAGGCTGGGGTTGTAGCACAGTGGTAAATTACTTGCTTGCCTAGTGTGAGTGAGGCACTGGGTTTGATCCTCAGCACCACATAAAAATAAATAAAATAAAGGTCCAACAACAGCTAAAAAAAAAAATTAAATAAATGAAGTACCCTGTTTCTAGATCCCACCACATAGCCAGGACATGAAAGTCACCATGCCTGACAACTCTTAAGATGATACTTGTTTGCTTGTCGAGGTTCAGTAATAATTATGATGATTTTAACATTAGACATTGCTCCCATTAATTGCTTCACATACACTGACCTCCATGTAAAAACAAAATACTATAATTTTCTGAGTTTTTTAAGACAATTGAATGGGCTTTATTGACAATTTATCTTTTGCAAATGTGAAGACAGTATTATTTTTGCTTAATAATTTTACTTCATTTATATAATGAAATGAAATATGTAGTAGTCTTCTGAATTACTATGTGAATATTTAACCAAAGTCTAATAAAATTAGTTTTGTGTAAGAGATTTCTCCTTGCTTCAAGAACATATATTGTTTTTCTTTGTTTCCTTTTTTTAAAAAATGTTTTATCTATATGGGGTTCTGAGAATCAAACCCAGTGCCTCTCACATGCTAGGCAATCACTCTGCCACTGAGCCACAACCCCAGCTCTCTTATTTCCTTTTTGTTAGTAATTTATTTTATGGTAAGGATGATTTTTATTTCTAGGCACTTGTGAGTCAGCTTGAGACTATAGCTAGGTAAGTGAAAGAAAAGATAGGATATTACTATTGCATATTTAAATAATTAGTAGAGGTATTTTAAGATTCGATGTTCATTGAATTCACATACTTGAATACTTTAGCATTATTACTAGAAAAAAATCTCTTTTATATTAAGTTATATTGTCCAATTTAAGATTAGGAAAAGGTTGTATCTGATTTGATAATACATTTTATTTCAGTTCAGTAATGAGGAGTGAATCCAGGGGTGCTTTACCACTGAGCCACGTCTCCAGTACTTTTTAGTTTTTGTTTTGAAACAAGATTTTTTATTTAAATATTTATTTTTTTAGTTGTAGTTGGACTCAATATCTTTATTTATTTTTATGTAGTGCTGAGATTTTGCTAAGTTGATGATGGTCTTGCTGTGTTACTGAGACTGTCCTCAAACTTGCAATCTTCCTGCCTCAGCTTCCTGAATTACTGGGATTGCAAGCATGTGCCACTGTGCCCAATTTAGTAGTAATATCTTTTGGATTGAGAAAGAAAAAGAGTAGATATGAATTAGATTAGTCCTTCACTTAAGACCGAAGCCCTCAGGATAAAATAGTCAGCTGTCCTAATATTAAAATAATTGATCGTGGGCTGGGGTTATAGCTCAGCTTTTGTAGAGCACTTGCCTTGCACTTGGGAGGTACTGGGTACGATTCTCAGCACCACATAAAAAATAAATAGATAGATAGATAGATAGATAGATAGATAGATAGATAGATAGATAGATAGATAGATGAAGAAATAAATATATTGTGTCCATTTAAAACAAAAACAGTTGATCCCCAGCTTTTCTAAAAGCAGTAAAATAATACCTCACAGCTTTTGTAGTTTCTACCAAATTATATTGTGAAGTAGTAGAGGAAATAATGTTTACATCTCTCAATGTAAATTCATTTATTTGTTCATTTTACCCATTTTTGAATTAGCATTATTTCCATTTAATCATAATTAAGACAATGGAAGGATGATGCAATGATTTATGTAAAGAAATCTGCTATTTGCAGTAGTGTTTTGTATGTTGAAATTTGTGCATAATTTAAAGATATATTTTCATTATAGGGGCCAAGTTTAAAAAATACATTGGCCATTCAGCTCATGTAACTAATGTCAGATGGTCACATGATTATCAGTGGGTTATTTCTATTGGTGGAGCAGATCACTCTGTCTTTCAGTGGAAATTTATTCCTGAAAGAAAACTAAAAGATGCTCTTCACATAGCACCCCAAGGTGAGTAGTATGAATCACCTAAACAATTTCCCCATGAAGTAACTCTTCAAAAACTTGAAGATGACAATTTTACCATTGAAGTATAATCTAGTTTTATAAATTCATAGTATAGTTTGTTATTAGCAGAAATTTCAAATTAAACCTTAGATCTATATTAAGTCAGATATCAAAGAATGGGATATAAAGTACTTTTGTTTGCAGTTTGTCAAATGATGAGTAAAGAAATGGTTATGGTAATAAAATCAGAGATGAGTGTTTAGATTTTATGTATGCTTTTTAACAAAGAGAAAAATATATATATACTGACATTATATATATAAATATTATATATATATAGTGTCAATTCTTTTGCTATGTGCAGTATTTTTAGCTATTTCATGGTAACTATAGGTTATATGCACTTATATTTGCACAGACATTTAAATTTGATGTAGCAGTCATTGGGGGAGCCAATGAAGGGATTTAAAAGAGCTATTGAGTTTGCAGTGAGTGGAGAGGAAGATAATCTGTGGTACAGTTTACTCACATCTGTGTCACTTGAATAGGTAATTTCATTTGATTGCTCTATGGCTTGTCTCCATGTCAGTTGACCTACCTCTTAATCATTAATCTTTCATTGCTATTTTGAAAATAAATCTTCTTTAAACAAATGACATTTCATTTTCAAAAATTACAGAAAGTCTGGCTGACTCTAACAGTGATGAATCAGATTCAGACCTGTCTGATGTTCCAGAACTGGATTCTGAAATTGAACAAGAGACACAGCTCACCTATCGTCGGCAGGTAATTTTCTATTCAAACAATTTTTTTCCCCTGGAAAGTTCAGTTCTTTCTTTATCTTGTTCCCTGCTGTGTATCTGTTATCTTTTGTGGTTTAAATTCCCAAGTAGTGTATGACTCTTTCAGTTTTCTCACTTTAAACATTAAAGCACACTTGAATAAACTATTCTTTTATGTTAAATGCTTGATATACTAAGTATGCCTATATTCTCTTTGCCTATAGATTTTTGAAACAGTACACTCCCAGTTATTCCCTTTGAAATATTCTCTTAAGTATAAAGATTTCCTGGAACACTAAATATGTGAGTTTGTTTTTTCTAAAGAAGTACATTTTGTAAAAGTACCTTCCTATTGAAGACAATTGCTAAAGTTGATTAATAGTAACCATATGTCTAAAAGTTATGTTAGGGGTATGAGCACCTTTATGAATGTCTTCCTACTTATATACATTTCTAAAGGTTTACAAAGAAGATCTACCTCAGCTTAAAGAACAATGCAAAGAGAAACAAAAAAGTGCTACTTCTAAAAGAAGAGAACAGGCTCCAGGAAATAGTATCCGATTACACTTTGTTCACGGGTATGAAACAATTGTTTTTCATTTCTGTGTTTGAATTTTAGTTCACACTTACTGTGTAACTTGCTCCAAGTCACACAATTGACTAGCTCTACTAACTGTATGCCTTTCAACAAGTTATTTAACCTCTCTGTAAAATGGAGATAACAATACCTCCTAAAGTTCTGATAAGGAGCAAATAAAGCTGTGATATTGTTGACTTAGAATAGTGCTTGGAACATAATAAGCACTGAATAAGTGTTAAAAATAAATATTAAAAAGTTATTAAAAATAAATTTGTCTTATGGAAGTTCAGTATTATTAAATTGGACATCTTATCTTTAAAAATATGAGATAATCATCTTCCTTAAATGTGACTAATTTGAAATAATATTGTCTTTCTTTTTGACTGAGCATTTTGGCTTTTGTGTATTAATTTCAGTAAAATATTAGAATTTCTGGATTTTCTTAGAATATCTGGCAATACAAGTTTCATATGTCAGCTTGTCAGCAACAGGTTTTCCAGTCTGATTCTATTTACCCCTGTCCCAGCCCTCATTTTCTTATCAGATTGATAATACTTTCCAAGAATTTGAGAAAGGATTTATTTATTAAGATTATTTTCTCTCCACTGGTAAAATAGGCAATATTTCTATTCAGTTGTGCTTTATAAATTGGGTTTCTTTGAAACACAAAGCAAGGTTGCTATAGACAGAATTATATTGACGTTTTAAGATTTGGTTATTGGTTGGGGATGTGGCTTAAGTGGTAGCGCGCTCGCCTGGCATGCGTGAGGCACTGGATTTGATCCTCAACACCACATAAAAGTAAAGACAATATCTTTTTATTTATTTATTTATTTATTTATTGGTGGACACAATTGTCCACCTAAAAAATAAATAAATAAATAAATAATATTTTAAAAAAGATTTGGTTACTTTTTCCTGAGCATAATATTTTAAAATTGCTTTTTTTAAAAAAATGTTTTTAGTTGTTGATAGTTCCTTATTTATTTACATGTGTTGCTGAGAATCAAACCCAGTGCCTCACTCATGCCAGGTAAGTGTGCTACTGCTGAGCCACAGCCCCTTAAAATTGTTTTTTAAATTTCTTTTTGAAATATATGTTTTCACAGTTCAACATTATGCATAAAAGGGATTTAAACCCTTCCTCTCACTTCTGCCTTCCCAACCATCATTTCCCTTCAGGCAATCACTGTTACTTAGTTTGATAAATAAAAATGCATTTATAAACAGATATGTATTATTTTCTATACCCTTTTATTTATTAAAAAAGTAACTGTTTTTGTCTTTATAAATTTAATATTATACACATGCAATTAATAGTATACTAGATATATTTTTCAGCACCTTGCTTTTTTTTGCTCAGTATTATGGTTTGGATTAGCTATTTGTAATCAGAGCAGTTCATAAATGCTTATAGCTCTACGAAGGTGGTGTTTTCTTTAATTGTTCAACATCCTTTAAAACTGGAAATTAAATGACCCTAAAATTACCTATTTCTCTGTATAGATTAGATCAAAGACCAAAACTAATTGTATATGATTTGTTTTCTATATTAGTTACAGAGGTTATGACTGTCGAAGTAATCTGTTTTATACTCAAATTGGTGAAATTGTGTACCATGTGGCAGCAGTGGGTGTCATTTACAATAGACAACAGAACACACAGCGTTTTTACTTGGGTCATGATGATGATATTCTTTGTCTGGCTATTCATCCTTTGAAAGACTATGTGGCTACAGGCCAGGTAAGTTCCTTTGAAAGATTATGTGACCAAAAGCCTGATAGGTTAGACCTTTTCTGAGTTAGGTTAGTCTACTTCATTCATGTGTGTATATATACACACACACACACACTCACAGAGAGAGAGAGAGAGAGAGAGAGTTTTTTCTAGGAAATGGAGAATAAAGAATTGTTTTGAATGGGATTTTATTTTCATATTATGAAGTTTACCTCAACTTTTTCCCTACAGTTGTCCTTATAGTATAGTTGTTTTAATTATTATTATCTTAAGGAATGAGGAAGTAGGTTAGTGGTAGAGCGATGATCTAGCACTTGTGATGCCCTGAGTTCAATCGCCAATACTGACAAAAATTTTTTGATTATTATTTCTGGAATTTTAATTTGGAACTAAGAATACTGCCTAATTTTCTTTCTGTCAGGATATGTATATTTTTAAATTTGTGAGTAGTTATAGAAAAGATGAAGACTAGAAATTGGTTTCGTTAGATTGAGTTGCTTAAAATAATAAAATATTTAACAAACATTCTGTGACAACACAGAATGACAGTGCTTTTATATTTTTGCAATCATGATAGCAACCTATTCAAGTTAACCAAGATAGAAAGCACATAATCTATCCTGTTGTACATAGAAATAGTGATCTTTGTAGACTTTTTAACCAGAGGAAGGTGAGAATGGAATATTTCAATTTGCCAGTGTGAAAAAGAACTGACACTTGGGGAACAGTAAACTTTTTAGAAATGTTATAAATGAAATAAATGACTGGCAATTTCACTGACAGTAAAAAGGAGGAAATATAAAAAGCGTTCATATTAACCAGCAGAAAAGAAACATGAGCTATTTAAAGAACTAAGAGAACAAGAAAGGCAAAGAAAACCATACTGTTATTTTTCTTTAGGTTTTGGTAGATAATTTTGGAAATGTAAATGATTAATTCAGAAGTTCCGTGTAGATTTCCTAGAGTAAGTCTCTCTTCCAGATCTGTCAATCACAAGTTCCTGGAAAATCTGTAAATCTTCCTTTGTACTGTTAGTTAACCTCCCAGTAAATTCATTGAGAGATGCTATTTCTTTGAATCCATTCCATTATTTGATTCTTGGTTTTAATTCTTGCGCCACAGGAGTCTTATTAAGGAAGTTGGGGCCTAATCCCATATGATGAAGATTAGGGCCTACTTTTTCTTCTGTTAGACACAGGGTCTCTGGTTTAATTCCTAGGACCTTGATCCACTTCTAGTTGAGTTTTGTGCATGGTGAGAGATAAGGATTTAATTTCATTTTGTTGCATATATATTTCCAGTTTTCCCAGAACCATTTGTTGAAGAGGCTCTCTTTTCTCCAATGCATGTTTTTGGCATCTTTGTCTAATATAAGATAATTGTAATTTTGAGGGTTACTCTCTGTGTCCTCTGTTCTATACCATTGGTCTACCAGTCTGTTTTGGTGCCAATACCATGCTGTTTTTGTTACTGTTGCTCTGTAATATAGTTTAAGGTCTGGTATAGTGATGCTACCTAAGAATTGCTTTAGCTATTCTGGATCTCTTATTTTTTCAGATGAATTTCATGATTGCTTTTTCTATTTCTATGGGGAATGCCATTGGGATTTTGATCAGAATTGCATTAAATCTGAATAGTGCTTTTAGAAGTATGGTCATTTTGATAATATTAATTCTGCCTATTTCTTGAAGAACCTATAATTTAGGGGATAAGATGAGGATCATGGCAGTCTGGGGATCCTGAGACTGACCAGATCACCAGAAACCATCTTGAGATCACCAGATTGACACCATTCCTATATTTCTTCCTATACCCTCCCCTCACCAAGTTTCCTTTAAAATAAGAGCTGGAAACTCCTAGAATGTATCTCTTACTCTTTGAGATGGTCCACATTCTCCCTTAAATGTATATCTGCTGTCTTAAATAAAGGTGTCTATGCCTTGTGGGGGAGGGATAGAAAGCACAAATATTGAAGTAGAAATCAGTGAGAAAGGTCTTAGTTGATACATGTCTATACAGATATCTTAGAGAAGCAAGGGAAAGAATAATGTCTGTAGATTTAATGAAAATTTTTTAGATGTTGATGGACCTTTATTTTATTAATTTATTTATATGTGGTGCTAAGAATTGAACCCAGTGCCTCGCACATGCGAGGCAAACGCTCTACCACCAATCCACAACCTCAGCCCTGTAGATTCTTACTCTGTAAATACTTTACTAGTTTCTGACTGTAAGTTCATTGTATTCCCTCCTCAACTCCATGAGAGTAAAATCATTTTCTTCCCTTTACAAATAAGAAAGTTCTGTTTTAGAGAAATTAAATAATTTTCTTAAGATCACTCAGCTGTTAAGTAGTAAAGTCTAAAGCCTTTGGTCTATCAGACTTTCTACACTGTATAAATACACCTTTAAAAAAATCTTTTGTTATTTTTGTTGTTCCTGGGGATGTAACTCAGGGGGACTTAACTACCAGCCTCAGTAAGTTTCTTGGGACCTCGCTAAATTGCTGAGGCTGGCTTTGAGCTTGTGATCCTTCTGCCTCTTGAGTCACTGGGATTACAAGCATGTGCTAACATGCCTGGCACCCCTTTTACATTCTCAGTTTTGTAGGGGTCAGGGAGGCAACATGCATCATCCTATATAGCTTCCCTGAGAGGGAAGAAAACTCAACCTTTTTTTCTTTCTTTTCCTTCCTCCTGCCCATTGTGCCTTGATGAGCCGCTTTTTCTTCTTCATTACTCTCCTCCCCTACCATTTTCTCCTTTGTTTCTTCCATTATTCAAAAATATTTATCAAGCACATTCTATATTGCCAGGAAATGTGCTGGAAATATATAGATAAATAAGAAGACATACATGCAAGAAAAATTATAATACCATGTCACAATTACAGACCAGAATTTCTCAACCTCAGCACTATTGATGACTTATGCCAGATAATTTTTTGTTGTGGGAAGGTAACCTGTGCATTGCAGAATGTTGAGCAGCATCCCTGACATCTACTCACTAAATGCCAGTAACCCTTCTGCCTGAGTTATGCTAACCAAAAATGTCTCTAGACAATGCTAGCTGTCCCCTAGGAGGCAAAATCACCTCATTTTTAAATGTAGAATCTGGTGAGAGTGTAGTGAAGAAGGACTCAGGAATTGTGCCCAGTAGAATCAGTGAAACAGGTATAACATTTATGCTGCATAGTTTACTAGCAGAGGGAAAGTGAGGGAAAGCATTCTAAGTCTGTCATATGATCTGTAAAATTAGGGGGTGAGGTGAAGCGCAGCTTATTTAAAGAACTGTGAATAGCCCACAGTATTCAAGTCTTAGAGTGCATGATAGACATTAGTGAAAGAACTAATCAAAAAGATAGGTGGGGGCATGAGGGGCATCACCTGCCTTTAGGCTATATAAAGGGTTCCTCTTGAAGCATAGTTATATACCCAGGTGCTTTGGCAAAGAAGTTGAACCATTATTCTGATATTGCTGGAATTAAGACAGTGTAGAAAGTGGCCACTTACTACCATGATTCTGGGATTTAAGGAAATTCAGGTCAGATTAAATAAAATGTCAGTATGACACTGGATATCTCTTCATACCCATCAAGCCATAGCTCCTTTGCTTACACAATAGCATTTCTGCCTTAGGCACTGCAGACTCAAGGTCTATCTCCTAGGACACAGGCTTACATAGCCTTTTCAACTTCTTTCACCGTTTTCCATTTCTTACCTCTGTAATATTACAGTCAACCAGTCACATCTCTCTAAACTTATAAAAAGTGTTAAACCTGATTGGAATTGAACCCTTTATTAAAAAGAAAAGTGATTCTGGAGGATTTTATGTGGGTGTTTTAGAATTTAACAAATCTAAAGAGTGTTTTGATTTGTTTTGTTTTTTTGGAGACTAGAATACAAAGAATGACCTCTTGGCAAGTGAGACCTCGTGGAAGAAGTTAGTTCATGAAGGTGTCCCCTTGAAAGGGATATTGGCTTTTCCTGTCTTTCTTGTTCACTTTGTGGCCACTATCAAGTATGCAGCCTCCTCTGTCTTGCACTCCCTGACATGTTCTGCCTTGCATGGGCCCAGAGGCAAGGGGGCCAAGCAACCATGGATTGGGAAACATGAAACAAAAGAAACCTTTCCTCCTTTTAAGTTTGTTATCTCAGGTATTTTGCTATAGTGGTGAAAAGCTGACTGATAAATCTCCCTGTATCCCTAAATGAAATATCACAGATATACTCCAAAAATATTGTCTGTTCTTCAGCCAGACTGATTTTGATGTTCAAGACCATGCTTCTCCATTTATTATCTGTTGGAAAATTAACTAACATCTCTGTGCCTGTTTCCTCATTTTTTAAAAAATTTCACTTTTAATTAATTTTATTTTGGATATGTGTGTGTATGTATGTATGAGAGAGAGAGAGAGAGAGAGAGAGAGAGAGAGAGAGAGAGAGATACTGGAGATTGAACCAGGAACACTCTACCTCTGAGGTACATCTTCAGCTCTTTTTACTTATTTTGAAACAAAGTCTTGCTAAGTTACAAACTTTTGATCCTTCTGCCTCAACCTCCCAAGTAGCTTCTCATCTTTTAAAATAAGGATACTACCAATACCTATCTTATAGGGTTCTTGTGATTGTGAAATGAGTTAACCTTTGTAAGGTATATAGAACAGTTTCTGGCACATAAGTGAGTTCTCAGTGAATGCAAATATATTACTATTAATCATTATCATCATCATCATCATCATCATCATCATCTGTAGATGATACGTCCAGTAGGTAGTTGAAAGTGTTAAGTCTTAAATTCAGGAAAAAAATAATGATTAGAGAGTAAGACTTTGGAGACACTTGTTGATTTAACCACTGAAACTGTGAAAGAGATACCTCAGGCAAAATTTAGAATAAGAAGCCTGTAGAATTAAAGATGAACTCTTGAGGGAGATTTGCATTTAAGAAACAGGTGATGAAAAAAACATACAGTCGAGAAGACCAGAGAACCAGGTAAGAGTAGTACTGTAAAATCAGAAGTATCAAAACCTGCAAAATTTAAAAAGAAAATTTAAAAGCCACTAGTAATGTTTAACTGAATAATTTAGTGAAATATTGTCTGCTTTTAGTGTTTTATGTTATGTCTTCATATAAAACAAAATATACTATAATTAAATTAACAGTCATGTTATTTCAGGAGCTGTCATGATATACAAATATATCATGATTCTTAAAGCTAGAGGAGCAATTACTTTAATTTGAGGAATAGTTAAAAAATGATAGATTACCTGTATATAAGTGAATACCATAAACTAAGTGTGTTAATTTGATTTCTATCAATGTGACAGAATACCTGAGATTTAAAAAAAAAAAAAGTTAAAGAAGGAAAGATTTATTTTGGTTCACAGATTCAGAATGTTCAGTATACAGTTGCTTAACCTCATTACCTTGGGTCTGTGGTGAGGCAGAGCGTCATGGTGGAGCAAAGCTGCTTACCTCAAAGTTGCCAAGAAACAAAACAAAATCAAACACAAAAAGAGGAAGGGTCTGGGACCCCAGTAACTCTTTTAAGGGCATCTCCCAGTGACCCAACTTCCTTCCACTAGACCCCATCTTCTAAAGGTTCTACAATAGTACCACCAATTGACAACCAAAATTTTAACACATGGACCTTGGGAGAGACACTCCAGATTCAAGCTATAGCATCAAGTTAAAAGAGAAATGACAGGGCTGGGGTTGTGGCTCAGCAGTAGAGTGCTCACCTAGCATGTACGAGGCCCTGGGTTCAATCCTCAGCACCACATAAAAATAAATAAAGTAAATATATTGTGCCCAACTATAACTAAAAAAAAATTTTAAAAAAAGATAAATGACAGAATGATATTATCTATTTAGAGTCCCATTTATATGCTTATTGCTTTAATCCCATTTGAATCTTTGGTTACACCTAGTTTAAAATGTGCTTGCTTGCTTCTCTTTGTATCCAAGTCCTGCTTTTTCTGAAGGCCCAATTTCTAGTAACATCTTATTCATGAAGTCTTTTTTTTCAGGACCTTTTAAATCTCATTAATTTAAAGTTTTCTGTTTTCCCAGTGAAAAGATACCTGAATGTCTTAGTACTTGTTGTATCTGGCATAGAAATCCTGCCAACAATAGTGCTTAACAAGCATTTATTATCATTTTTGAAGAAGTATAGGATAAGATTTATGAGGAGTCATATAGTTCTAGAATATTCCTAGATACACAGAGCCTAGCCTCATTGGCTTTTGAATGAATATTAAGAAAAAATCCAGTCATGTATCCAGTCTGCTTTATATTTTTGATAAATTTCTATAGTAAATAAAACAAAGACTGTAAAATATCTTGTTTTATTTACTTTTAGCAGATATAAAAATGATTAACTTTATTGCATATATTGATTTTTATAATTCTATTTTAGGTGGGTAGGGATCCCTCAATTCACATATGGGATACAGAGACTATTAAACCATTGTCAATATTAAAGGGCTACCACCAATATGGTGTCTGTGCTGTTGATTTCTCAGGTAAGCCTATTTTCTATTTCAATAAGAATGATCCAAATGCAGAGGCAATATGTAGAATTTTAATCTGAATCAGTGTTACCTAAGCTTGTGATTTAGCTATGTCCTTCACAATTTTTTTTCAAATGTGCATAAAGTATAAAGCAGTGAAAGTATAGATTCATTTACTAGTGTCTAATTATAGTTCAATTAGTATGATTTTAATACCCTTTAAACTTTGTAGATTTCTATTAAATATTTTTTTAAAAAATTTGCAGAACACTTAAAATCATCTCAGTTACACTAAATGGTATGTATCTCTCCTTTGGGCAAACTTCTGATTTCATCTTAATGTTTTATAGCTACAGAACAAACTTTGAAAATGCTAATGGTGAAAGGTTAAGAATGAAAGAAATGAGAACTGAAATATTTGTTTAAGACATTTCTATTAAGTGACAATTTCAGGCCATCTTATAATTTTAGAACATGCTTACACTTTTCAGTATGTTTAAACATTAGCAACTAAAGATAGGTCTATACTGAAAGCCAGGGTGTGGAGTAGGAAGAGGGAAGAAAATATCCTTAACAGAGAATTCTATATTAAATTAGTGCTTTTTTGCTATTCTGACTGAAGTGACAAGTTAACCATAAGTGAGGTTTAGGAGAAAATATATATATACTTTCAAGGAGACTAATAGTCAAGAAACAAGAAATGAATGACAGATTAAGTGGATCAACAACAAAAATGCCACTGGAAGTATTGAGGAACTAATTAAGGTTTACAAAGGTGTGGCAAAATAGAAAACATTTTCTTATAGTCTAAGCCTTATAACCTGTGTATAAACACAGCCTGTCAGCCTGTCTCATTATTCATTTGTCTCAATGATTCATCTAATATACTCATTACTTGTTGCTTAATAACATATAATTGACTTTCATTAAAAGCAGTAATACTAATGTTGACAGTATATTGTAACCTGTGTATTTTTCATTTAGCTTTTCATGATTACTGAGTTCTTATTATCACAACAGAATTCTTATGGTGAATTTAATGGAATCACATCTTTTATTCCCCTCCTTTCTTAATTTTTCTTTCCTTTTCATTTTTTCCCTGCAAATTTTGTTTTGTTTTTAATTGACCTGTAACAATTGTACATGATCATGGGTATAGTGCGATGTTTTGATATGTGTAAACACTGTGTAACAATTATCTCAGAGTCTTTAGCCTATTCATTAATTCATACATTTATAACTTTCTCTTTCCCTTTCCCATCCCAATTAGTTGGACAGATAAAGTAAATGAGGTCAGGTGAGAGATAAAAGAAATTAATTTAGCTCACAGGTAGGCCCATTAGTTCTGCCTCTGGTGAGAGCCCCCTTGGCTGTGTCATAACATGATAGATGGCATCATGGTGGGAATGAAAGCAAGAAAGAGAGATCACGTGGTGAGATGGGAAGCCAGAGAGATTCAGGGGTCAAGTTTTCTGTTTTATAACAACCCATTATCATGGAACTCACTCACTCTGAAAGACCAGCATTATTCCTTACTGAGGGCAGAGCCCCCTATAATGTTTTTACCTCAAGGTAGGCCCCAACTGTGAAAGGTTCTATTAACTCAGTATCACCACACTGAGGACCAAGCCTCTAGCACCTGAAACTTGTGGGGAAGCTACATTCAAATGACAACATTTAGTTTTAGAATGCGTACAAAATGTTTATCTTCTGAATGTAAATGGTCAGTAAGTATATCACTCTGATTAATTGTCACAGCGGATGGGAAACGTTTGGCTTCAGTTGGAATAGATGATAGCCACACCATTGTACTGTGGGACTGGAAGAAAGGAGAGAAACTTTCAATGGCAAGGTAAGGAAATAACTTGATATGACAAAATACTAGAATTATTTTGGAATTTAAAAAACTTTAAAATAATTTTGAAATCAAGCAAATATGCTACCATCTTTTTTATCTTTGAATAAATAATATCAGGTAAAAGATAAATGATTTTATAATTTCTTTGTAAGCTGAGTCTTTATGAGCATTTTTAAAAATATATTTTTAGTTATCAATGTACCTTTATTTTATTTATTTATATATGGTGCTGAGGATCAAACCCAGTGCCTCACACACGTAAGCAAGTGCTCTACCACTGAGCCACAACCCCAGCCCTGGACCCCTTTTCTTACTGTAACTATAATAAGGCATTGAAATTAATAGTTACTTCAATTATCCATTTACAGGTAGAGTGAATTCTGTATAATAGCCTATTAGACAGCAGTGTTGCAACATAAACAGTGAACATCCAAAATGTTTATATTATATATTTAAGTGAAAAAAGATATACCTATATAAAGAAGTTATTGGGGTTTTTAATCTATTTTTCTTCACTCTAATTTTTATATAGTGAATGTCTTGGTTTTTTTTTTTAATTTTTTTATTATGATGAATCAGAAATATTCCTATGAAGAAACCTAAATTCCTAAGATGAAAATTAGAATTGTTTTACTAAAATTATATAATTTACAATTGAAAAGTTAATTATCTAAAATGATTAAAGATAGTTGGAAAAAGTATGTTAAATTTTAATGAAATATTACTTAAATTCTTTAATTCATTTATGTCGTAAGCTATGTTCCTCATGCACAGTTGTAGGTATCATAGGTGCTACTCAAAAGAAGTTTTCACTGTTTCTATCTTTTGACAACCTGTTGAACAGAGTTGACATATTAAAATAATGACAAAGCCAGGTGCAGTGGCACATGCCTGTAATTCCAGCCACTCAGGAGGCTAAGGCAGGAGGATGCAAGTTGGAGACCAGCCAGATCAACTTAGTGAGCTCCTGTTTCAAAAAATAAAAAGGGCTGGGGATAGAGCTCTGTGGGATAACAGCCCCAGGTTAAGTTCATAGTACTGTCAAAAGAGAGAAAGGGGGGGGAAGGAGGGAGGGAGGGGGGGGAGAGGGCGAGAGGGAGAGAGGGAGGAACACACACACACACACACACACACACACACACACAAAGTGAATATACAAATGCATGGCTTCACAGCCCAAATCCAAAGGACAAGTGGGAAATAGACATTCAGTAAAGTGAGAAGTAAAGATAGAGTATGGATCAGGGAAAAGGTTGTTACAGGATAGCTTTGTCTTCAGAGCTAAAAATTTTGTATTTATTTCAGAGGAAGTAAAGATAAGATTTTTGTTGTTAAGATGAACCCCTACATGCCTGATAAACTGATTACAGCTGGAATTAAACACATGAAATTTTGGCGTAGAGCAGGTAAGGAAGTGTTTCTTTTTACTTCTTTGAAAATTAAGAATTGTTATTTTTTAATATTTATTTTTTAGTTGTAGTTGGACATACACCTTTATTTCACTTGTTTATTTTTGTATGTGCTGAGGATTGAACCCAGGGTCTCACACATGTGAGGTGAGCGTTCTACTGCTGAGCCACAACCCCAGCCCAAGAAATTGTTATTTTAAAAAGTAATTTAGCTAAGTGCAGTGTGGTATCCCAGACTGGATTCTGGAACAAAAAAGGGATATCGGTGGAAAAACTGGTGAAATCTGAATGAAACCTAGGGTTCAATTAATAGTAATATATCAAAAATGATGGTTTCTTAGTTTTGACAATGGAATTGTGATAATAGAAGATGTTAACATTAGAGGAAACTGGATGGAGGCATATATGGGAACACTATGTTATCTCTGCATCTTTTTTGGAAATCTAAAATTTTCCAAGATAGATTTATTTTTAAGTGACTTACTGTTGTGTTGGTGCATTTTAAACAAAGATGCATTTATGTAATATTCATATTTGCAAAAGGAATTAACATATGAGATTAATCAGTTGGTTGTCTAGACTCCTTTCTTCTATTAAAAGACATGATTTATAGTTTAAACTAAAAATGAAAAAATTATGTAAAAATTCTTTATATGATATAGAAACAAAATGTTCCTTTAATTTAGTCATTCGTAACTGTAAATTACAAATATGGAAGCTCACATCTTAAAATAAAAAATATTTTTCCTTTTCCAGATAGAATGAGTATATAAAGTCCCAACAATGGTCACATTGATGTCTCAATGAATTTAAATCTTTCACAGAAAATATGTAAATGTAGGAGGAAGAATAGGCTTAGTGAAGACATTTCCCAAATTCAAGCACCTTTCAAGTTGTATTCTACATAGGAAATAAATTGATTTTTCTGATTTGGAGTTAATATTTTATCACAGATTTATCATAGTGTTTGCATTTACAAAGGAAAAAGTATTTTCATGTTTATAATTTCATTTCTATATGATTGAACAAAATTTTCATTTGGACCTCTTAGTCACTTGAAATTACAAATAGCCAGCAAGTATTATTTAGCATTTCTCTTAAAAACAAAAACTATGAATTTGTTGTTTTAAAGAAAGTAAATAGCCTTAAAATGAAAAGATATATAACTGAGTAACTTTCTTCCTTAAATTTGATTACACATATATTTGACCTGAACTTGAACCTGAACCGTATAAGGATAAATGTTAGGGTTTTAGTGCACATTTCAACCTTCATCGCTTTTAGAGTTCTGATCCATGGAGTTCACTAGCCAAGTGGGAAATTAATACCTATTTTCTTATTCTAAGTATTGTCTAACACTCTAAATGCATACTTTTAGGTAAATTAAGTTGAAGGAGGTGAATTAGACCTGAGGTTAAAATGGAGTCTCTCTTGCCACTTATCCCAAATCTAGACTGGGAATTCCAAGTTATGAATTATTGGTTTCTCCCTAAAGTATTTTAACTCTATTCCAAGGATAGGGAACCACTGAAAGTTTTTAAGTGTTAATGACATGGTCTTGTGCAATAGGAATATGTTATATTATATGTATCAGAAAGCCTAACCATCAGTTATCTAAACCAGGAGTGAAAACTTTCTTCAAATAATCAGAAAGTAAATATTTTAGATTCTCCAGGTGAAAAGGACAAAAATGAAGAATATTCATAGATACTTGGAGAACAAGGGAAAAAGTTGTTCTGATTACCCTATTTGTTCCCAATTGCTATGAATTGGAAATATACTCTCCAAAACTGTACTATTGTAGGGAATGGGCCTAGTAGGTTGGAGTATGGTGTTAGTCAGCTCTTTTTTTTTTTTTTTGACAGTGACCAAAATAACTGAAAAAACAGCAACAACAACAACAACAAAAAACTTAGAGGAGGAAAAGTTTAGTTTAGCTCACAGTTTCAGAGGCCTTACTTAGTCCATGGTTGGCCGACTTTATTAATCTGCACCCAAGAAGAGGCAGTGGAAGGTAAGGCAGGGAAATCTGCTCAAGTCATGACAGCCAGGGAGCAGAGAGAAGGGGCTGAGGAGAAGATGAACCCTTGCAGGGTATGCTCCTGGTGACCTACTTCCTCCAACTATCTCCTCATAGTCCATTCAGCTATCAATGGGTTATCCATTTGATGAGGTCAGAGTCCTTATAATCTAATCATTGCTTGAAAGCCTCACTTATGAACCCTGCATCCCTAAAGACCATGCTTCTACCATGTGAACTTTTAAGGACATTCCGGATCCAAATCATAACAGGTGGAGAAGGTAGCCATGGGCAGCTTCACTCTGAAGCTATGTGTTCCAGTAAAGCATAGATACCAATGTGTCTTCTGAATACCCTCTAAATACCTAAATACCCTCTGAATTTAGGCAATTGGCCAAAGATGGGGGGAACTACTGGACTTATTCCACTGCTAGGTGCTTAGCAGTTGCCATTAGCAGAGTCTTCAGCATATAGTTGGTGACCAGATCAGGTTCTAGGCAGTTGTTAGCTGCAGCTGCAAATCAAACAGGCTTTCTGTGGCTCTAGTGCTAAATAAAATAGATGGCCACAGGATTTGGCCTATAACCAGTTGTTTGCTGACCCCATTCTAGACAGGTAGTCTGTGCTGTAATGAAGCCCAGTTGCCCTACTTGTGCACTAGATTTCTTCTCCTTTCATCTACTCAAGGACACCACTCCAGTTCTTTCCTTTCTGACTTTCCCTTCAGCATGTAAGTGTGGTATTATTTCCTTATCTTTTTTTTTGGTACTTGTGATGTGATTGAACCCAGGGATGCTTAACCATTGAACAATATCCCCAGCCCTTTTATTTTTTATTTTAAGACACAGTTTTGTAAGTTGCTGAGGCAGGCCTCAAATTTGTAATCCTCCTGCTTCAGCCTCCTGAGTCACTAGGATTACAGGTGTGTGCCACTATGCCCGGCCATTTCTTTATCTTGAATAAATGAAACAAACCTTTCAATTCTGTTCTCTAGTTGCTAATCAGTCTCTTTTGTTTCCTATATACTGAAGCATCCCCAAACAGTTATGTACTTTCACTTTACAGTTACTCCTCTTCCTCTTGAGAGAAGTCTAACCTTCACCACGTCACCTGACTGCTCTTGAAGTGTTATTAATGACTCTGCTTGTTGGTTTTATGAATACTTTCAGAATCTGACCACTATTCATCTTCTAGGCTACCATCCTGGTCCTTGCCTCCTTAATCATTTAGTCAGATGATTGAAATAGACATATAACTTTTTATCCCTTTCATCCTTTAATCTGTTCTCAACCCAGAAGTCAAAATAAATATTTTAATAAGTCATATGCCAGATCTTATTATTCTACTACTCAAATATTTTCCATCCCATGCAAAATAAAAGCTATACCCTTATAGTGGCCTGCAAAACACCTTCTAACTCATCTCCTAGTATTGTTTCTCTTTCTTTTTTAAAAAATTTAATTAATTAATTTTACAGTAGAATACATTTTGACACATAAAACACAAATGGAATACAATATCTCATTCCTCTGGCTGTATATGGTTCACAGTCACTCCACTAGTGTAATCGTACATGTATATAGGGTAATAATGTCTGTCTCTTTCTACCATCCTTCCTATCCCCACAAGCCCACCCTTCCCCTGACTTCCCTCTATACAATCCAAAGTTCCTTCATTCTTTCCTATCCCACTGTGGATTAGCATTCACTTATCAGGACATTCAGCTTTTGGTTTTTTGGGGATTGGCTTATTTCACTTAATGATATTCTCTAGTTCCATCCATTTACCTGCAAATGCCATAATTTCATTCTTCTTTAAGGCTGAGTAATATTCCATTGTGTATAGGTACTATATTTTCTTTATCCATTCATCTGTTGAAGGGCACCTAGGTTGGTTCCCTAATTCAGCTATTGTGAATTGTGCTGCTATAAACATTAATGTGGCTGTGTCACTGTAGAATGCTGATTTTTAAGTTTTCTGGGTATAAAACTGGGATATCTGTGTCAAATGGTGGATCCATTCCAAGTTTTCTGAGGTATCTCCATACTGCTTTCCGTAATGGTTGCACCAGTTGCAGTCTCACCAACAATATATGAGTGTACCTTTTCCCCCACATCCTTGCCAATACTTTTTATTGCTTGTAAACTTGATGATTGCTGTTTTGACTAGAGTGAGATGAAATCTGAAGAGTAGTTTTTACTTGCATTTCTCTAATTACTAGAGATGATGAACATTTTTTCATGTTTGTTGATCAGTTGTATTTATTCTTCTGTAAAATGTCTATTCAGTTACTTAGCCCATTTATTGACTGATATGTATATTTATCTTTTTTTTTTGGTGTTACGCTTTTTGAGTTCTTTATATATCCTGGAGATTAGTGCTGTGTCTGAGGTGCCTGTAGTAAAGACTTTTTCCCATTCTGTGGGCTCTCTTACCACATTATTGATTGTTTCCTTTGCTGATAAGCAGCTTTTTAGTCAGAATCTAGCCCACATACTGATTCTTTTTTTTCTTTTTTTTTATTGGTTGTTCAAAACATTACATAGTTGTTGATATATCATATTTCACACTTTGATTCAAGTGGGTTATGAACTCCCATTTTTACCCCGTATACAGATTGCAG